ACACACACACACACACACACACACACACACACACACACACACACACACACACACATACACGAACGCCTCTGAAAACATAACCTTCTTGGCGAAGGTAAACATAACCTTCTTGGCGAAGGTAATAATAATAACAAACACAGACTACTAACTCAATATCAGTCTGGATTTAGAAAACTGCATTCTTGTGAAACAGCCCTACACTCAGTGATTGAAGATTGGGTTCAATCGATTGATAATAAGGAGCAAACCGGGGTGGTTTTCTGTGATCTCTCACGAGCGTTTGACACTCTAGATCATGACATATTACTGCGGAAGTTGGAAATCTATGGTGTAAACGACATGGCTTGCAACTGGTTTAAGTCTTACTTGACAAGACGGCAGCAACGCACATGCCTGCATTCAGTACTATCCCCAGCAATTTACGTTACATGTGATGTTCCGCAGGGATCTATACTAGGTCCACTACTTTTCATTATGTATATCAATGATCTGCCAAATTGCACCCAGTCATGTCAAGTTGCCATGTACGCTGACGATACCATAATATACTTTTCAGCACGCAGTTTTCAAACAATTGAGCATACTATCCAAAGTGACTTAATCAAAGTCTCCGTTTTTCCGTCAACAAACTTTCAATAAACCCAACTAAATGCAAATCGATGCTGGTAGGCTCGTCAGGAATGAATGTTACAAACGCTACACTACATCTCAACCTAGATGGAACCATCCTTGAACAAGTAAACACATTTAAGTATCTAGGGGTTATTATTGACAACACACTGAAATGGAGTGAACATTTTCATCATATAAACAGGAAACTAGCACAGGTGATCGGGGTAATCAGACAGTTAGACGTTTCTAAACAGACAAGCCTTGCAAGCAATGTACACTAGCCTGTTCTTACCCCACATACATTACTGCAGTACAGTATGGGACCAGGGAGGGAAGGGTCACATGGACAAACTCCAGAAACTTCAAAATAAAGCAGGCCGCACAATCCTTGGCTGTAACAGATACACCGCTACTTCAGACATACTTAGCACACTTGCATGGTTACCAGTGAGTCCAATACATCGTAAAAACAAAGCTACACTTGTGTACAAAGCCCTCAATGGCATGGCCCCACCCTACCTTACTGCATTGTTCATGAAGTTATCTGACACACATACATACAGCACTCGCCTCAGGACACAAGGAGGACTCCAATTGCCTAAAGTTCAACTGGAGTACAGAAAGCGAACATTTTCGTATTCTGGGGCGACTCTCTGGAACAGCTTACCATCACACCTGAAAGCAGCCAATACACTCTCAACTTTCAAACAAACTTGAAGGTAAAAGACCCTGCTCAATGGTGGGTCGGTCATTTCATTCCATTTCGTTCCATTTCGCGCTTTCTGTTATTCTATGCTCTATTAAGTAGGAAAGGGTTAGTAGGAAGGTACAAGACGTGGCCCTGCTTAAAGGTGGGTCGGAAGAGAAAGAGTGCAGTCTTTGACCTGCTTTTCGTAGTGAGCCACTTAATACGCAGATGGCCTAGACAAATACAAGGGTTTCCCTGACTGTATTACAATAACGCAACACGAATCGCCTCATATGCTTCGTACACATTTCCCTCAGCATCATTACTTCTACAAAAACGCTTCGTTCGAATTGATGTGACAGTGCGTCGTGTTCTTTAATGGGACACTTGACCTGCTTTCGTGGTGAGCTACCAAACTAATACAATGGTTTATACAGGGGTGTTGTTCTGACTGTATTACAATAACGCAACATTGACCTTATGACTTGAGCTGGTGAGACCTTTCAATGAACACATCAAAGATGTGTAGGTATTCATGTTTGCCCTAAATATCATGCAACGTCAATACAATATCCTGTTAAGTTATTATTATTTTATGTATTTGGTCAAACGTCCCTGTTCCTTATGGTAAAATTTGCAATTACACAATAAATTGACCTTACCAAAATTTTCAACTGTACAACTCCAGTCTTTATGGTCTCATTCATGAGGTTTTTTGTTACATTGAAGCCCATATATTAATGCCTTTTTAACATGACCGCTTTCCTACAATACTTCTATTGCTATCGGTCATTCTATTCCGTGCATAATTACTCTACATCACATAAAAATTGCCAACGACTTCTATACCACAATTCCTTTTTAGGGCAATTACAAAATGCACATAGCGGCTCACCCAAAACAGGCCCCTCGCGCTGAAAACCGAAGACCGTACTACCCAAAACACTGGACTGTCCACGTCCACCCTCGCGCGCGGCTACCACCAATTACGTCCTAATCTCTTCAGTTACAAACAAGCTTTCACTTCATTCACGTTTTACATCTGTTGGGTTGGCTAAAAACAAACTTCTCACCAATTAAAACACACTTTATACGTTGACGTTTTGGCTTGGCACTCTTTTACGTGCCGAGTAATACATGAATGAGACCTTATCAAGGAATGAGCAATTCACAGCTTTCGTGACGTCACGATATGCAGATGACACACGTGAATCCGTGAGCAGTGAGCTAATTTGCAAAAAGTCTGTCCCCTTCTCTGTTGAGGGATGGTTGTAATGCCCTGTGCGGCTCTCGGAATCTAAGATTCTTGTCGAATGAGACTGTCTCTGTGGTAACATTGATTAATTTTTTTCTTCATTAAAGATATGAATGCAGCGACGATGGAAGAAGACAAGGAAACGTTTCGTCAGCGTCTGTTAATGATTTCCCAGCAAGTGAAAGATCAAGAGTCGACTATGAAGAAGATCGACAGCCTACTGAATGAACTTCTTGCACTACAAGAAAATGGCCGGAGAAACGCAGAGACAACAAACAAGGAAGTTCACTGCAGGCTCCAACGGCTAGCTTTTCAGTCGGAATCTGTAAGTACAAAAAAAAAAAAGAATTTAGAGACCTAATATCATCAAAGGTATTAGTCGCGACAGTGTTAACATGTGGTAATTACGAAAGACCAAATGTAAAGAGTTATACATCTGCGCGAACCCCCCCCCCTTCCATGCCAGCTTGAAACCCCTTTCATGCCTGCGCGCGAAACCCAGTGACATTAGATATAGTCGCCGTGGTCAGATGTCCCGGGAATTTTTACTTGATATTGAAAAAATAGTAAGGATAGTAAAAAGAACTACTGTAGTACCAGTAGTTATACTTTTTTTAAGCTTTGTTCCAACACAATAGGAAGAACTAGCCATAAATTTTCGGTTGATCTCGTTAACCTTCGTCAGATGAATGATGCACTCGTTGACGTTCCTGAAGTCGGAAGCGTGATTACGTCAGGAGTGCATCAAAAGTGGCGGGAAGACGGAATCTTCCACCGTCGCGGTTCAGGGAAGGTTGGTAGGCCCTTATGTAAACTGCCTCCTTCACACCCCTAACGAAGTAATCCTGAGAGTTATGGGGAAATCTTTCAGAGCAAATAAGTCCAGAAAGGAACAACATATTTCAATGATTTTTGGTATGTGGATCAGACAGAGATGTACATAATAGGATGTAAATTATGCGAATGAAGACTTAATTTACATAATTAATGAGGAAAATCTGTAATTCCAGTGTTTTACATCGTAGGACTTGTTCTTTCTGAAAACAATCAGTAACTCATATACTCTAAAAATACTCTAAACTTGAATCCCATAAAGTTGCATGACTAACCCTGTGGTACATGTATTACATTTCTATTCATACCCTTTAAATGCCTTGTATGGCTTTCCCTATGTTGATACCCCATTGTGGGTTCCTGTGGATTGATATTACAAGCAGTGAAGCTCTCAAGTTGCCAAACAATGTTTTCCATAAGATCCAAACAGTCATGAGTAACATTTTATCTAGCATTTCTTAAGGGGAGGGGATTAACCCTGACAAACCATCACATATCATTACTATAGGTGTATCATTCTACATATACATGTATTGATGTTTCTGATTTAAAAGCATTTATCTCTTTAACATAACAACATTGTCCAGGGCCCCACTGCAAAGCAGTGTTAATCACTGAGAGGGCTACCCTGGCTAAAGAAAGCAAAAATATAAAAAAAAAAATAAAGCATATCATAGATGGATATATACACTACTGTTCTACTTTACTGGGAAAAGATAATTAGTTTTATTCTTTTAGAATTTTACACAAGGCTTACAGTTGACTTGCCACCCTAAACAACATGGCTGACCAAATGTTTAACAAGTCCATTATTCTAGATCAAAAGTATGTAACTTTTCAATATCGTGGGATATGTTGGATTGATACATGTAGTATGTCTTCCATTTTACTTCGAAGGAAATCTTTTGCGTTTTGGTATTTTTTGCCTGTACTTTAGTTCAAGCCTGAATTCCCATAAACCATTGTGTTTCCTCACCCGTTTACTTACCACTATGCTACTTCACAAAAACGACCAGACTGCTTTTCCACGCCAAATCAGACTGGACTGAATTTCCAGCAACCCTCTTTTGGCGCAGACGCGTAAGCTTTTTTTGCAAAGACGACGCAGGTGTGTGCGCAGACAAGGAAACTTTTTGTGCAGACGTGGAAGGTGTTTGTGCAGACGTGGAAGGTGTTTGTGCAGACGTGGAAGGTGCACCGTGATTGTGCAGACGTGGAAGGTGCACCGTGATTGTGCAGACGTGGAAGTTTTTTTTTGCAGACTGTTGTGTTTTGTAGGTTAGTTTAGTTTAGTTAGTTTAGTCCCATACCCCCCTGTCCAACTAATGGTAGGTTCCAGTAAGAGGAGACTTGCCCAGATGGTAGAGTCAGATAAGACTGATAAGGACATTCTGAGAACGGAGCCCTGGTGTCAGGGTGTGCTGAATAAAAGCTCTGGAGCCGAGATCTTGCGTGTGTCCGACCATTTCTTGGAGTTCAAGTACGAACCTTTAACATTGGCGTTGTCGGCACTTCCAACCTGAGCGAGCAGCTGTGGAAATGTTGTTTCCCGCGCAGCTATGAAAAGCGTTTTCTGTAGGCATCGAAAGGGTGTTGCGCGCAGCTATGAAAGGGTTTTGCACAGGCATAGAGGGGGTCTCCTGCGAAGCTATGGGAGGGGTTTCACGCAGGCATGGAAGGGGCTTCACGCAGGCATGGAAGGGGTTTTGCACAGATGTTTATCTTTGTGGTATTTCGTAGGTAATAGCTAGCTGGGTTAGGGTTAAGGATTTATGATTAGGTTTAGGGTTAGGGTAGGTTTAGGGATAGTTTAGGGTTATGGTCAGGGTTAGAGTCTATGGTTAGTATTAGGGTTAGGGTTAAGGCTCTCGTTGGCTGCCCTCAGTGGTTAGTGGCCTAACGTTAATGTCAGCCTTTTTAGGTTTCGTCCATTGATAAATAAAATTCACCATTCGTTTGTGGACGTCCCCCGCAGTGTTCATGTTGGGGAAACCGTTGCTAGGGAGTCACTGGGCTGTTTACCCCTCAAAATAAAGCGCATACAATTCTTAGAAGTGACAATTTGAAAAAAAAAGTCTTTAGTACCTTTGAAATCCGTATCATGCTATTATGGCAATAGTTATTCAGAGAATATAACAACGATAATACTTTATACGGTTATATGAATGGCAAAAAAGGCTTACTTACGGGGGTATGTTTATTTCCTGATGACTTTGAGTGAGTTATCTTAGTGTAGATATGGAGGTATCTTATTTTGTTTGTAATGTTTGGGGTATTTTTACACGTGATTTTAGATGAAATGTAGATTTTGAGCTCGTTGATTATTATGTTTGATATAAAGGTTTGGCTTTTTTCAGTGAGTCTGCATGAAAGGGTTCGTTGTGTTGTTATTTACCTTCTTGCAGGGTTCAATGGGAAGAGTAAGAAGGAGTTTTACTGAGGCCGAGGGGAAGAAGAAAGTGCCATCAAGAGGACACTCTCGAAAAAGCAATTTCACAAAAGAGCAAAATAGTTTCATTGAATCACGAATGAAGAAAGAATGTTGGTCCACCAGCAAGCCTACTCTGACCAAAATTTGGGACGAAGGGCTGAATGTTAACTTGTGGGAATCAGGTCGCCATACATATTCAAACTTTCGTCAACGGTGTCGGAACATCCGTAAAAAAATGATTTAAAACTAGAGTTCCGCGATCTCATACCTACCAAGAGATAACCTTTATGACTGACGAATTGTAGGTTATTCTCACTAATTATGCAAATAGGTTTCTAATTTGCATGAATTGCATTGGTTGATCATATTCTCCACCCATGCTATTCTAGCATTTCCTCATAAATTATGCAAATAAGGTCAACATTTGCATAATTTATGTTTTATGATATTCACCTTCACTGAACTTTCAGTTACTCCTAGTATTAAATTCCTGGCAGTTACCAGTATAGACTTATAACTTTTTCTCATTAATTATGCAAATAAGGTCTTCATTTACATGATTAATATCTGTTTCTCTCGTTGTCAATTACATGTGTCACAAGGTTGAATAGTCCTATCACGGAATGCAGCTGATTTATAGAATTTCCTAATTTATTATGCAAATTGCATCCAGATTTGCATAATTGTTATATAGTTATGTCAAGCATCACTCAAGCTGCCTACATACCAAAAATTATGGCGATCCATCGACTGGTTCTACGCCCCTGCAGTTCCGGGGCAAGCTGCTAGAGAGCCCAAACTTATGTCACTTCATCCCTAGCCCACGAGCTATCTACCATCCCGAATTCGTGACCCTAGCATGTCCAGATCAGGCGAGATATTAAAACCAGAAGTTCAGCTGCAGTACCAAGGAAAGCCGCTAGGGGGCCCAAAATCTAAATATGTCTAGGTCTCATCAAGACCTACCCACCTACCAAATATCAAGACTATCCATCTAAGCCTTCTCGAGTTATCGTGGTGACACACAGACAAACAGACACACTAACGCATCTGAAAACATAACCTTTTATTCTTGACAAATTATGTATTAGATACATAGAATAAGCCCAACCTCTAAAGTTTGGAAATGTTTTAATGGTACTTATGTTCAAAATATGCAAGCGCTATTAACTGCTTCCTAATAAATTTTTCGTAAGTGTATTATTGTTGAAGTAAAGCATAAGTCAGTAGCCTGACCTTTTCTTCTGATCTTGTCTTTTGTCTTCTGATACCATCTTCTTGCTAAGGTGAATGCGAATAAAACAATAACAAAGCAGAATCTACACAATTTACATTGTTATAAATCATGTTGCTCCTTGCTACAGATTCGTTGTGGTTAGGTGATTAGGTAATTAGAAAAAATAATCTAGCAGAATTTGTATTTAGAAATTAAAATAAGAACCGACTACTTACTAATCAATACAATGTACGTCGATGAAGGTTAGACATCCAGGTAACAATGATATGCCAAAAAACAGTTACTCAAGCAACTGGATATGATTTTGAAAACGTCAGACGTCAGTCACTGACGAAAGCTAGTGGATACTAGCTGAAACGTCTGACGTTTTCAAAATCATATCCAGTTGCTTGAGTAACTGTTTTTTGGCATATCAATACAATGTACTTTGATTTTAGGAACTTTAGTAACTAATGTTAGACGACGACAGCTCTCAGTCGTTCCAACTATATTGGCTATCTACATTTTTTTAAAACTAATGGCTTGTCTGCTCATCATTGATAAGTTGCAATAAAACAACCGGCTAGTAAACTTGGCATCTGTGTAGGGCCTTTCCTCTCTGTGTGTACGGCTGTGTGTATTTTCGGATACTTAAGGTTAGCATATCCATCAAACCGAGGAACTCCCTTCCATCTGACACAGGGATAGCTTTCTAGCTGTCCTTTCAAATTAAAGTGTGACTCACTCTTCCTCGGGGACCCATTCTCTGTGCAAGTTTACATTTTTTACATTTGACTCTACGTATATGTATAAAGTTGGTAGGCGTTCATTTATTCTTTTCCCCTGGCAAGCCCTTAAATTAATAGCCCAGCAAGTTGGGCAGCCCTGGTAGTGTCACGTATGTACGTGTAGGGCAGACAGTACAATTACACTTTGTACATAGCCATATAAACTTATGCTTAAATACACTAAAATAAGGATTCATAAAAGTAATTTCACACATTTCAATCTCAAAAATGTTTCTGCATCATATCAGAAAGCCAGAAGGTTCTGCCTCCCAAATATACAAAGAAAACAGGGGGTTGACCTGCTCAAACTCCAACAACAGCTGATCACAGTACACAAACCCTACTTTTGACCCAATTTTCTCATGTATTCATCCGCTCTAGGCAGGCAAGACCTCATCACTCAGGTGTCTCATTACGCCCACTAAACGAGTGAAATCAACAAAACTTGACCAAAGTAGGAAAGTTTTGACCCTACGCGTTCCTTCTAGCCCAAAAGTCTCAAAAATGGACCAAAATTTCCAAGAGAAAAAAAAGGATTTTCAAAGGTTTTAACTAGGACTACAATCGCCCTCTACTGCGCAATTATGACGGGTGCCCTATATCAGGTGAATAAATAGATAAGTAAAAGCATATACAGCTCGAGGAATGTCTGTATGTGGACCGGACAAGTTCCGAACAGGATGTTGAAATATTGTGCTCATGATCTGGTATCTTGTCAGAACCATATGGACGTGTTTTTTCCGTGCCTGATCATACTCATCACCATGATCCCATTGAAAACTATAAGTATCTGGAAGATACATGTATCACGTTCAGAAATCTAAGAACGGCGAAATAAACTACGGTGCATGCTCTCAAAACAGGCGATATCCTTGCATATCCCAACTACTCAACATTATTCTTTTTACTGAAAGAGGGGAAATCGTGCTGTAAAAGTAAAACAACCTTATTTACTATGATAAGAAGATCGAGAATCATGAAGCATATCTACATTACGCCGAAGCAACGGCAGACAAGATTTTTGTTGTTATCGAGAGTAAAAAAAAAATAATCAACAAGGTAAATCGTAGATTTCATACCTCCGGGGTTTTATATTGTTTTGGGTGTACATTTTTATGTTTGTACTGTACAGTCAAAGGTAGAAATGTGGTTTATGTTATGTTTTAGTGTTAGTTGTATCGTTCGTTGTGTATTGGTTTGGGTTTTTACAGAACGTCACACAGCTAATAGTCTGGGTCAAACGGGCGGGTCAAACGGGCGCGTCAACTTGTTAGGGCGATGCCCGGCGGGGTGCGATACATCTTTAGCAGTGAAGCAGAGAAAAGTTAACAAACAACCATAGCAGTGGGTCTTTCTTGTACGTTGTTGTGTGACCGTCAGGTGGTGTAGTAAACACCGATCAAAAATAACGTTGACTATAATAGTCACTGTAGCGCTACAGGTGCGACAAATAGAATCTGACGTCTACCATTTAAACATGAGTGCACCGTCACCCAGCGCGTCACCCTGCGACCCCTTCCTGCGCCTGTCGTCATACAGGAACTAAACGGCACCACCGGTACCGCAGTCTAACAACGTCGCCCACTGTCTCAAACACAACACACCACAGTACATTTATAACATATCATTATCATATTCAAATCGATCAGCATCAACAAGCATACACTAACTTGTAAATATTTTTAACCTGTGCCGTCACTCAACACCGTCACCTGCGACGGTCTCCCTGCGCCGTCATCCCCACATTAAGCCATTAACATAAACCTCTGCCGTCAACCTGCGCCGTCACCCGCGCCGTCACCGACATCATCAACCTGCGCCGTCACCGACATCATCAACCTGCGCCGTCACCCGCGCCGTCGCAAATTTCCGTCTCGTAAACGGTCGTCGCCTTTCCGAACGGTCGTCGCCTTTTTTTCAGAACGGTCGTCGCCTTTCGGAGCGGTCGTCGCCATTTCCGAGCGACCGAACTTCAGTTCCGAATATCCGCGACATGTTCGGGACTTCCCCGAGTTCTTTGAATGTGTGAAATCACACTTCCTGAAGATAACATCGCGACTGAAGACGGGCCAGAACTTGGCTAGGTGGATTGAAGTTGCGTGGGTGCTAGTACATGTATTATAATTATAAGTTCCGGGGGTTGAATTATCTAGGTTAGAACTAAGTTAGTGTTTGAGAAATTCTCGATTGGAACGGGAAGGGTTTGGGTAACTCTGAACTCGAATGTCTCTGGGTATTTATTTTTCTTGCATGTGAACATGTCCTCTCCCTTTTTCTTTGTTTCCTTTTGAAATGCGAATAAACATTATTTGAAAAAAAAACCCTCTGAACTAGAACGTTTGTAGGTTTTCATACATTGCTGAATTTGAAACGGGGGCGAGAAAAACTCCACATGTATTTTTGGAACAGCCCATTGTGCGAGCATGTAATTTATGAATGCTGCAGGATGGTCTGACTCAGAAACATTCATTCGGAAGCACCATCACACATGCAGGCATTTCTCTGACCAAGGACATTATGTCCTGACTGACTGACTCACAACTCCACCACAGCCGGGTTTTATTTCGTTGTCTCAGTGCTTGCCCAGCATAGCAGGCCATTTCACACTTGTCACCAGCATGGCATTGATGTGCTACCCAGTGAATGTGTCGTATTTACATACAGTGCAGTGGTGAATGTGTCAAGTATTAACATTCAGCAAGGTAAAAACAATAGACATTTCGGGATGAAAATAGCTTTTGCAAGTTTGTCAAAACTCCTGTCAAAGTAAGACATTGTCCCCCTTCTAAAACAGCAGGTCCTTTATCAATCCTACATGAATTTTACATAAACGAAAGGAATACATACCACAGGGATTGAGAAATATAGCACAGGGACGGAATCTAGCATGTTTGTTTTTGGTTGAAGATTCATTTGTCATTTGTATAAACGGCATTATATGAACCCTTCTTCAGTTTGTTGGCGAAGGGAAACAAGAAAAGGCTGGAGAAGATCCAGGCCTAGGATCGTATGCTGATCTTATAAGGGACTGTACGATA